AGACCAGCCACAATCCCACCAGAACAGGAGGCACCAGCATCCACCCAGGTGCACAGGCACGGGTTACTCCGGAGGCATGCTGCCTCCCCAAGTCCTTGGTTAATTCTGCAAAATTTGGCTATGTGAAGCTAAATTCTTTGTAAAACGTAAAACAGGTCAGCAGCAAGTTCAAGTCTACTGGTAGCTACCAGAAAAGGCTTTAGATATTTCATTTCCAAGTGTTTGGTGATATATAATTGCTGTGATAGACTATGGAGAATTAAATAAAAGCAGAGCAGCCTAACAAACGGGATGGTTGGTGAGTTCCAGTCCTTGCTATTTAAGCAGGCATCCAGTGCACACCAGTGCCCTCGCAGCCCCCATTAACCAGAGTATCTCCCCATATGCCATCCTCCCCTCTGAATTATCCATTTCAAAAGTTCTGAATATTAACTTCTTGAAATCACTGAGCAAATACTGGGTTAACAACCACAACGATAGATACAGAGAGCACAAGCACAGCTCCTCGCCTTCACAGAGCCTAATTTAACACAATTTTCTAAGGAAACGCGAACGCTTTGCTAGCTGTCATCGTCTGCGCCTGTAAAACTTCTAATACAAAGACTTGTAAAACTTTCACCGTGAAGGGAAAGATCATAGCAGAGGTATTAACTAAAACAGGAAGCACAAGGCTATTTCGCACTGCAAACCTCTCTTCAGAAGAAAACACATAATAAAAGAAAATAATAATAAAAAAACACCCCCAAACAACCCTACTTTTAACCCACTTGGACTTTCCCATACCCCACAGGTATGCTTATGTCCACACAAGCAAAAGAAGATTGTGATTTTGGAACACATTATTATACATAGAGTAGCATATTATACTTGGACATAACATATTGCACTCTGCAAGCATTTCACGATCTGCTCAGAAAGTTGAATTCCCATTCAGGGGTTCACCCTGCACCCCAGCAGCTACCCTGTGTCTAGGGCCCAGGTTGAATCTCTGCAGCACACTCAGCAAATACAGAGAGTAACACAAGTTTGTGGCAAATCAAGACTTTATACAGAAAGCTTTACATAGAAG